GGTCTTTCAGTGAAATTACGAAGAAAATTAACACGTGTTGAATTATCAACTGATGAATGGGATATTTTAAATTTGATTATTAGCTTATTATATCCTTTTTATTCAGCCACAAAAGTTTTAAGTAATACAAAATATCCAACTGTTGGATCTGCATTGTATCTTATGAAAGGTCTTGAAGAACATCTTACAAAAGAAGATAATAATGAATTGTTAAATAATTTGAAAAAAATTATATTGAATAAATTTCGACAGTATATTATTGATGATGTAGAACAATTCAATACTTTAAAAGTAAGTGGTACGCATTATTTTAATTTCTTATATGAATTAGCTTTATTTTTTCCAGTTGTACTCATATTTTGATCCAACAGGTTTTTCGGCTCTAACAAGAGGCGAACAAACAACAGTTGAAAAAGAAATAACAAAATTACACAAAAATGTATTCTCATCATCAGAAAATTCTTCGTCATCATCAAATCAACAAATGAAAAAAATGAATAACATCGATAAAGCTTGGCAAGCCTTTCTTCAAGCCACCAATAAAGATCTAATTCAAGAACCAACAACAACATCTACAATCCAATCAGATATAAGAAAATATCGAAATTTGGCAACTAAATTGTACGTATGAAAATCTTTTTTAGATGTAATGCTTAGGCGATATTGGGTGACTGAGGTTTGTAAAAAAATCACCCACATGTTCATTATAATTAATTATATAATTGGACTTGTCGTATTTTTAACGAAAATTTTTGCTAGTTATAATTTGAGCTTGATATTACACTACACTACATCTCTATCTACAAAATTCTCAGTTTACACTTTCGAATTTTCGTCATATATTCGATTATAATTGTGAACAAGATGGAAAATAAATTATGAGAGTGATAAATATCAGAATATGTCAAGCTCATACAATACGGAAATCGACCTTTTTTTAAGCTACATATATACAGATAGTTTCTATTGTATCACTACAGTTACTTTCTTCTGAAAATCTCATTTTCATTGAACTGAATAGATGCAGTCATTCGAAAAATTTATGAAAAATTTTCTTAAATTAGACAAAATATTCTTTATCGAAGTCCATATTAATTCAAATTAAACTAGAAGTTTCAATTAACATTTACTTTTTCATTTAATTTACATGTAAATTAAATTATGAGATATTTATTAAAAATGTAAATTACTTTGCCACAGGATTTATTTTTACTTTTAAGTGTAAATCGTGTAACAAAATAATTTACAATTTCAATAAATATAAATTGAACAGTAAATGGCATCCCTAAACTAAACGACGTGCGATAATTTTTTCGGGAATCTTTATCGATAATCAATTTGCTGATCCTTTAATTTTTTGGAAACAACATGGTGTTGATTTACCATTACTATCAGATATGGCTCGGTGCTATTTATCAGCTTCTGCTACCAGTGTTCAAAGCGAATCGGCTTTTTCTATTTCTGCACATTATGCAAGAAAAGAACGTTCTCGATTATCACCCGATAATCTAGCGATGTCAGTATTCCTTAAAGACAAGCTTTAAAACTGAAAGAAAAAATGACACTAAAGTGGCCAGCATTAATACAATTGCATCTGAAAATTTTTATTTGTTTGTCTTTATGGTACTTCTTTGTGTGTTTATCTTGATTGAAATAAAAGAATTCGAACTACACGTTAAAACAAGATTCTTTTGTAGAAAGTACAGTGTAAGTAACTGAAATTCTAAGCTGAAAATGTTTTCAATCAAATTATTATATATCTATTACATTACAAGAAAATAGTAATAATATATTTTGTTATAAAGATACATCAAATAATCATACTAAAGTTTAAATACAATATGGACTCTTCTAGATAGATTTATAAAGCTGCAAGATATGTATAGGCTACTGAAACGCGACAAAAAGATTTCACTGTAAATGGTACTTGAACATTAAGTCGAAAAATTCGCTAAAAACCAAGACTTTCTAATCCTAATTTTATTTTTATGTGATATACCAATTGCAGTCCTATAATTAAATATGACATGATGCACTACAAGGATACTGCCTACTTCAGTAGTATGCACAAACCAAGACGCATACAATTCGAACAAATAATCAATACCCAAACCCAAACCCAAACCCAAACCCAAACCCAAACTCAAATACCCAAACCCAAACCCAAACCCAAACTCAATACCCAAACCCAAACCCAAACCCAAACTCAATACCCAAACCCAAACCCAAACCCAAACTCAATACCCAAACTCACCAAACCCAAACGGTTTGGGTTTGGTGCATGCCTAGATATAAAGATAACTTTAATTAAATTATTATGACTAGGAGAATATTTATTTTCAGCTGAATATTTCAAATAGAAATTTAAATTGTATAGTATTACAGAAAATTTGATGATAATTTTTTTACATATATTAGTAGAGAATTGAAAGTGTATGTTCTATTACGAAGAGTGTTTCAAATTCTTTTAATTCATTTCGAACATTTTGTGTCTCATTTCATCTTTTCTATGTTCATATCAGGAACGGTCACATGAATATAGAAAATATATTCTTCATCTTACAACTTCTCTAGTCAAGGTTGACGTATGCACACATGAAGAATGAGGCAAGAAATCAGGAAAATATGCCACAGAGAAGAATAAAAAAAACGTAATTCGTACAAAACGAAATGTTTTGTTAACTTCACGTAAAAATTCGTCAAAGAATTTTGATTTTCTCTTTTTTTCTCTCTTGAAAATATACCTTTTCAATGTATAATAGACAAAGAACTCAATAAGATCAATGTTTGTTTTGTGTTTTACTATTCTATAAATATAAATTGATACAGATTGATCAAAATCACATCAGAATATGGAAAGTAAGGAATAATTTCCTTGAACTAATCTATACTTTCGTATTTCCTCCGAAAATTTTCTTTTGTGATTATATTTAAATTCATTTTCAAAATACAGTCATACTACGCTGCTATTCTATTTTGTGTTTTATACACATAATATTGGCATGAATCTTTTCAGTACACGTGCTTGTGAAACGACTTGATAAAGAAGAACAAGTATAATAAAGAAAAATATGGTGTTTGGAATAAGTGAAAGATCGTTTTTTATTCATTTTGTAAGGAAAATTCTTAATTAACGTTTACAGAAGATTTTGATTGAAATTATTTTGGCAAAAGCCTTACATATTGCTGTTTTATCTAACTTTCTGATCATACAGTTTCTTTTTTAATATGACCCTCTCGAAAATTTTTATCTTATACAGACAATAAAAAATACATTTTTAGAAAAACCATCAAAAGCTGAGCTGGCAGTATAAATTATCTTGGAGGAGTAGAATCAAGTCTCCAACTACATTTTCTCTTTAAATAGTCTCTTCAGCAAGAACCTTTCCTTTTTTTCTATTTTGCTCGAAACAATCCATTTTTTTTAAACTTTTCTTCTTTTCGTTTTATTCGTTCTCATTCATAGGTACATGCTCAGTAGAAAAATTCATCTATGAGATACACTTATTTTAAAGCATATATTTTAGATTTGAGTCATTGCCTAAGAATATATTTTGTATTTCTTGTCAACTTAGTTTTTGATGATTCAAAAATAAAACACCCATTCCTTTTCTTTTGTCAATACGATTAGAAAACAAAACTTTTTTTTGAACTAAATTTCTTAATTCAAATTATTTCTCTCATTAATGTCAACTATTGTTGTAAACGTTAGATAAGACACGGAAAAGAAAAAAAACAGTAGCACGTGTGTCATTTCTTGCAAACACACGAGATAATCAACATGATCGATGGAACGAAGCTCGAAAGAAATATTCTTTCTCTTTTTGGAGGAGAGGTTCATCATCTACAATAATAATATTTTTGTAATTTCCTTGATTTATTTAGTAAATGAGCACATTGATTTTGTAAAAAAAAATATATATATAAATGTCAACTTGCTAGTGTCCCAAAATAAATTCACTGAAGTAAATTGTGTTCAGAAATGTGGTTTATCGTTTATGGACAAAATAATAAACTCAAGAGAAAAGCAAAAACTAACAGCCAAATGGATTTAAAAAGAATAGAAAAAAATGATCAGTTATTCTGTTCTCCCATGTAAAAAAAAAAATAATCAAAAAATCGATTAAAAATTGATTTTAATCATACACCTTTAATCAATAGTTTAAGCAGTAATAAACACAACAAAATCAGATGATAATCGATTATTTCAGATATCATGATTATAATCCATTTTCTAAATTTTGTCAAATCGATTATAATCATGATATTTGAAATAACCAATAATAATCTGATTTTGTTGTGATTATTTCTGATTACACTATTGATTAAAGGTGTATGATTAGAATCGATTTTTTGATTATTAAAACTGATTTTTTTTACATATCTTTTTATATGGGCTGCATCCTCTCATTTGCGAATATAAAATCGAAAATTCTACAACTGCAAAATTCAATTTTACTTTATTCTTCAAATGAAATTATTCAAATAGAAGCAATTCAAAGTCTCAAATTTTCATTCTTTAAATTATTGAAAAATTTACCTCCACTTAAGAAATTCGTTTGATGAACCGAATCATTTCTAGAAAGTCAATCGAAAATTAAAAATCTCCTTTTTTTTATTAAAAAAATATAGTGATACGAATTTCAATAATAATTATAATTTCACTTTTGTTTTGATAAGTTGAAATTTGTAGAGTTCGCTCTTGTTTTCCATATATTTTTGTAGAATATACCTATGGATTAGGGTGTGGGTGTGAGTGGGTGTGGGTTTGGGGTGTCGGTGGGGTGTGAGTGGGCTGTGGGTGTGGGTGGGTGTGGGGTATGGGTGTGGATGTGTGTGGGTGTGGGAGTCTATGGGCTTTTTTATTTCAAACTGAATTCTAAAATCAAAAAAACCGCACCAATTTCTTCCGAATCAAACTTTTCTCGTTTGATACTACGTAGTCCCACTAAAAACCCTTAGTCCCCCCTAGGCCTGCAAAGTCCCCCTTAGTCCCCCCCACAAAAAGCTTAGTCCCCGCTTAGTCCCTTGTGCAGGGGACTAAAGCCTATAGTACACAAAGCCACAAGCACACCCTCACCCTCACTCGCGCGCCCACACCCACACCCTCAGTCACTCCCCCCTCACTCCTAGACTCACGTTTCAGTTTGAAATCAAGTATTATTTTTATTTGATAAATTCAGACTGAAAATAAATAGCCCATAGTATGGGGTGTGGGTGTGGGTGGGTGTGGGATGTGGGGTGTGGGTGTGAAGTTGAGTGTGAGTGATACTCTTGATACAGACTGATCCACACCTACACCCACACCCACCCTTTTCATTCAAACGTTCTACAGGTTACAATAGTCTGATTACGAAAAATAAATGATACATTTTCTATAACACTCTTCAAGCTAAAAATTATCGATGCAAAGCTTGTTATAAACATGGTTAGGTTAAAGGACATCTGAAAAAACGATTTTGGCAGCAACTGGGATGAAGTTCGACATATAGTATAAATTTTATGGCGCATGCACATTGTAGTATAGTCAATGGTGAGCAATTCGAACTTGTTTGTTATAAGATTTGAAACATTGTGGCATATCATTTAGAAACTAATGAGTCAATTAGCAATTAAAACTGATTGAATGTC